TGCAAGTGGGGGGCAGCTGGGGGGGCTGTCTTGCAAGGGAGGGGGGCTGTCTTGCACCTGGGGGGGCTGTGCATGGGGGCCAGGGGGAGGGAGGACCCCATCTTGCATGCAGGGGGGGGGTTGAGCGGACCCCCCCAATTAGACCCCCGCGTGCATGTGCCAAGAGGGCGGGGGGGGGGGCTAGGTAGGTTGGCGCCCCCGTCTTTTGTGCAAGGCAGGCGAGGGGGGGGGTTGGTGGAAATCCCAAGCCGGGGTCCCCACCCCCCTTTTGCCAATGTCTTCCTTCCCCCCCCTTCCTCTGCAGGGCTGCAATGGCGGAGCCGGGCCCCCCGAGCGAGCCGGAGCGCGCCCTGCGTCGCCGCCTGCCCTGCCGCCTTCCCCGTCGCCGGGGCGACATCTACGTCAACATGAAGACGGACTTCCGGGCCCAGCTGAGCCGCTGCCAGAAACTGCTGGCCCCCGGCGGCGGGGGCTGCCTCGAGATCTGCATCCACGGCCTGGGACTGGCCATCAACCGGGCCATCAACATCGCCCTGCAGCTGGAGGCCGCCGGAGGCGGTGCCCTCCGCCTGGCCGCCAACACCTCCACCGTGCAGCTGACGGACGCCGCCGAGCCCGAGGGTGACCGGGACGAGCCGCTGGGCCAGGCCAGGCACAACTCCGCCATCCACATCCGCGTCCTGCGCGCAACCCCGGAGTAACGGAGGAGGAGGAAGGCCTGGATTGGACTCCCTGTGTGTGTGTGTGTGTGTGTGTGTCAAACAGACTCTGGTGGGAGGGGAGAAAGGGAGATATTCACTTTGTGTCCGATCCCTCTTTGTATCCGTCCGTTCCCCCCCAAAAAAACCCTGAATAAAACCTGTATTTCCCAATAAAGGTAAATAATTTGTAGCTCAGGGTTTTCAAAACGATAAAACTTTCTGGCGGACGTTTCGTGGCCCAACTAGGTAACATCATCAGGAGGAGGTGAGGAACGTTCGGCAGACGGATGAACCTTCCCTCGCTTGGTTCTAAAATGTCTGGCAACAAAACAGCCCTGCAGGAAAGACGGATTAGAGAGAGAGATTAGAGAGGGAGGGAGAGATTGACAGTTGGGGGACGGATGGAGAGAGAGAAAGAGAGGGATGGATAGATGGAGAGAGAGAGAGATGGATAGATGGGAGATGGAGGGATGGATACATAACAGAGATCAAGGATCTTCCAACTTGACGGCTTTTAAGACTTGTGGACTTCAACTCCCAGAATTCCTCCTCTTCCAGTCGTCGTTAGAAATTCTGGGAGTTGAAGTCCACAAATCTTGGAAGACCCTTGAAATAGATGATAGATAATTATAGAAAGGTAACAGATAACTATAGAAAGATAGATGACAGGTAGGTAGATACATAGATGATAGATGGATAGATAATTATAGAGATAGAAGAGGATAGGTAGGTAGTTAGATACATACATGATAGATAATTATAGAAAGATAACTAGAAAGATGACAGGTAGGTAGGTAGATATATAGATGATAGATAATTGTAGAAAGATGATAGAGGGTAGGTAGGTAGGTAGGTAGATACATAGATGATAGATAATTTTAGAAAGAAGGTAACTATAGAAGGATAGATGACAGGTAGGTAGGTAGATACAAAGATAATTATAGAAAGATAGAAGATAGAGGATAGGTAGGTAGATCGATACATAGATGCATAGATACATAGATGATAGATAATTATAGAAAGATAGAGGATAGATTATCATCTATGTATCTATGTATAGATCAATACATAGATGATGGATAGATACATAGATGATAATTATAGAAAGAGGATAGGTAGGTAGATCGATACATAGATGATAGATACATAGAT